TGACAGGACTCCATCTCTACAAATTTTTTGTTAAAAACTAGCTGAGTGTGGTGGTACACACCTGTTGTCCTAACTACTTGGGAGGCTGAGGCAAGAGGATCACTTGAGCCCCAGAGTTGGAGGGTGTAGTGAACTATGATTATGCTACTGTACTCTAGCCTCAGTGACAAAGTAAGACCTTGTCTTAAAAATAAATAAAAATAAAAAATACTGAATGGAAGTACACCAAGAAGTTAACAGTAATTTTTCCTGGACGGTGGAATTATAGCACACTTGAACTTTTTTTTTTTTTCTTTTTGAGACAGGTCTCATTTGTTACCCAGGCTGGAGCGCAATGGCACAATCTTGGCTCACTGCAGCCTCAACCTCCTGAGTTCAAGCAATCCTCCTGCCTCAGCCCCTCAAGTAGATGGGATGACAGGCACGTATCACCATGCCTAACTAATTTTTGTAATTTTTTGTAGAGATGGGGTTTTGCCATGTTGTCCAGGCTGGTCTCCAACTCCTGGGCTCAAGTGATCCACCTGCCTCAGACTCTCAAAGTGTTGGGATTACAGGTGTGAGCCACCGTGCCTGGCTGAACTTTTTATTCTTCACTATGGTATCCAGATCCCTCCAGTATACATTTGTTGCTGTTATAATGCATGAAAAAAAAGTTATTAAAATAATAGCTGATTTTTAAAGGGTTCATAGAGGCTTTTCTGTTTTTATGAGAAATAATCAGAAACTGATTTTTTTGAGACAGGGTCTCATTCTGACCCTCAAGCTGAAGTGCAGTGGGGGGGTGATCATAGCTTACTGCAGCCTTGACCTCCCAGGCTCAGGTAATCCTCCTGACCTCAGCCTCCCAAGTAGCTGGGACCACAGGTAAACACTATCACACCTAGCTAGGTTTTTAAAAAAATTTTATAGAAATAGGGGTCCCCCTATGTTTCCCATGCTGGTCTCAAACTCCTGAGGGTCAAGTGATCCTCCCATCCTGCCCTCCTGAAGTGTTGGAATTATAGGTATGAACCACTGCATTTGGCCTAAAGAAACTTTTTATTCCAATTATATTTTATTTCCATTTCTTAGAGTTTTATTAAGATATATTTCACATACTAGCTGGGCACAGTGGTGCATGCCTGTAGTCCCAGCTATTCAAGAAGCTGAGGCAGGAGTATTCCTTGACCCCAAGAACTTGAGTCTAGTGTGGACAACATAGCAAGATGCCAGTCTCTTTAAAAAAAAAAAAAAAAAAAAAAAGGCCAGCACGGTGGCTCACGCGTGTAATCCCAGCAATTGGGAGGCTGAGGCAGGTGGATCATGAGGTCAGGAGATGGAGACCATCCTGGCCAACATGGTGAAATCCCGTCTCTACTAAAAATACAAAAATTAGCTGGGCATGGTGGCACCTGCCTGTAATCCCAGCTACTCAGGAGGCTGAGGCAGGAGAATCATTTGAACCTGGGAGGCAGAGGTTGCAGTGAGCTGAGATCATGCTACTGCACTCCAGCCTGGGGGACAGAGCAAGACTCTCTCTTTAAAAAAAAAAAAAAAAAAAAAGAAGAAGAAGATATATTTTAGATACTTTTTTTTTTTTGAGATTGGGTCTCACTTTGTCACCAAAATTTTGTCTATTTTATTTCTGTAATATTTATTTATTTATTGAGGCAGGTATTTCATTCTCACCCAGGCTGGAGTACAGTGGCACAAACACAGCTTGCTGCAGCCTAACCTCCTAAACTCAAGCAATCCTCTCACCTCAGTCCCCTTAATAGATGGAACTATAGGCAGGTGCCACCATACGCCGCCAACTTTTTTGCATTTTTTTTGTAGAGATGGGGTTTCACCATTTGCCCAGGTTAGTCTCGAACTCCTGAGCTCAAATGATCGGCCTTCCTTGGCCTCCAAAAGTGCTGGGATTATATGCTTGAGCCACTGTGTCCAGCCTACATGCTATTTATTTATTTATTCATTTCGAGATGGTGCTTCACTCTTGTTGCCCAGGCTGGAGCGCAGTGGTGCGATCTTGGCTCACTGCAACCTCCACCTTCTGGGTTCAAGCCATTCTCCTGCCTCAACCTCCCAAGTAGCTGGGATTACAGGCATGAGCCACCATGACTGGCCAGTTTTGTGTGTTTTTTTATTTGTTTTGAGACAGAGTTTTGCTATGTTGCCCAGGTTAGAGGTGCAGTGGCGTGATCTCAGCTCACTGCAACCTCCATCTCCTGGGTTCAAGCGATTCTCCTGCCTCAGCGCCCCTAGTAGCTGGGATTACAAGCACATGCCACAACGCCTGGCTAATTTTTGTATTTTTAGTAGAGATGGAGTTTTGCTATGTTTGTCAGGCTGGTCTCAAACTCCTGACCTCAGATGATCCACCCACCTCGACCACCCAAAGTGCTGGGATTACAGGCATGAACCACTGCTCCCAGCCCTAATTTTGTATTTTTAGTAGAGACGGAGTTTCACTATGTTTGTCAGGCTGGTCTCAAACTCTTGACCTCAGGTGATCCACCCACGTCAGCCTCCCAAAGTACTGGGATTACAGGCCTGAGTCACCACACCTGGCACAACCTACATAGTTTAAATATACCCATTTAGAGTGTACAGCTAAGTGGTTTTTAGTAAATTCAAAAAGTTGAACAATTATCACCATCTTAATTTTAGAACTTTAAAAATACCCCTAAAAAGAAAATTCCTTGTGATTCTGTTCATATGTTTTAGTGGTATGAATTCTTTTATAAATCTTGTGACATTTTCAGGGTGAACCTAGCACTGTGAGTTATGAAGGCATATAAGACACACTCCTTGATTTCAAGTAGCTGATAGACTAATAGGGAAGAGAAGGAAATATAAATATCTTTAAGATAGTTGTTTCAAGTTTCACACCAGTGATACAAGCTAAATATTACAGGTATGCTGAGGAATTGAAGAATCATGTGTGTTTTGAATGGTGAGAACAGCCTTTATGGAAGTAAGGAGATGGAATCTCCTAAGCAGAGAAGATGTGGAATTATATCATTCTTTGTATAGGCACTTTTCAGTTTATAATAAACATTTTCCCTTTGCCCACTGGGAATTATGCATACTTTTATACAAATATTTTATCAACACAGATCTACCTTGATTAAGAAAATTGTGGTCTGCAACATTTAATGGGCATACCACAGTATAAGCATGACTAAATAGCTTGTAATTTATTTATTTATTTATTTATTTTTTTAATTTAATTTAATTTTTTTTTTTTTGAGACAGAGTTTCACTCATGTTACCCAGGCTGGAGTGCAATGGCGCGATCTCGGCTCACTGCAACCTCCGCCTCCTGGGTTCAGGCAATTCTCCTGCCTCAGCCTCCTGAGTAGCTGGGATTACAGGCACGCGCCACCACGCCCAGCTAATTTTTTTGTATTTTTAGTAGAGACGGGGTTTCACCATGTTGGCCAGGATGGTCTCGATCTCTTGACCTCGTGATCCACCCGCCTCAGCCTCCCAAAGTGCTGGGATTACAGGCTTGAGCCACCGCGCCCGGCAATAGCTTGTAATTTAATGATTATATTGAGAACTCTACTGCTTGTTATTTAGTTGATTTATATTACAAGGGAAAGTCAAAGTTTTCTGTACTCTTGTCATCTAATGCAGGGTACTTTTTAATTCCCACACTGTTATTCTAGCGTCTGTAACTCCTCCTTTCTCTTCTCTTACCATTCTGGCATGCGTGTAATTGTAGTAGACCATTACCCAGAATTGTATGCCACATGTGACAGTCTGCAGAGATAGGATATTACAACGCTATCACCACATGGCCCACAGAATAGAAAGTCATTCTTCAATTTTTATGATATTTTGATTTCTATTTTAAAAAGCCTTTAAAAATCAGTGTTTGGATTTTTATGGTATTATATCCCAGAGAAATGATCTTCTATTGAATATAAGTACAGACTAGTATCATATGGATTGTAATGTTTCCTGTAGGTGACTCAAATGACCTAATCCCCTCTTTCTCATTGCTTTTGAAATTGAAAACGCTTTTGACAGTGTTTTTAGGACGAGGGTTCTAAAAAAAAGCAGGCAGATAGATTACTTGAGTATATCAAGGAAAACCTGCATACAATGGAGATGCTACTTGGGTTGATTTTCTAGAGTAGGAATAGATCTGTGAGCTCCAGCTGTGCATTTTTGTGACTCTCCTTTTGACTACTGTACTTTCAGAACCACTAACTTCAACCATGCAATGGAATTAACCTGACTGACTCAGGGTGAGAGAGTCCTAGTAAAGTAATGACCTGAGATTGGAAACCCACATAGCAGTTTTAATCTTTTTTATTCTGAAAATCATAATTTATCTATTTTATGTCTGTATTATTATTTTTTATTCTATTTTATTTTTTTGAGACCGAGTCTTGCTCTGTTGTCCAGGCTGGAGTGCAATGGCATGATCTTGGCTCACTGCAACCTCTGCCTCCCAGGTTCAAGCAATTCTCTTGTCTCTGCCTCCCGAGTAGCTGGAATTACAGGCACACGCCACCATGCGCAGCTAGTTTTTATATGTTTAGTAGAGTTGGGCTTTCAGAATGTTGGCCAGGCTGGTCTCAAACTCTTGACCTCAGGTGATCCACCCTGTTCGGCCTCACAAAGTGCTGGGATTACTGGTGTGAGTGACAGTGCCTAGCTTGTATTTTTTTGTTTATTTATTGAGACAGTTCTTTATCACCCAGGCTGGAATGCAGTGGTGCAATCACAGCTCACTGCAGCCTTGACCTCGACCTCCCTGGGCTCAGGTGATCTTCCCACCTCAGCTTCCCAAGTACCTGGGACCACGGATGCACCACCACATCCGGCTAAGTTTTTAATATTTTTTTATATAGAGAAGGGGTTTTGCCATGTTGCCCAGGCTAGCCTTGAACTCCTGGGCTCAAACGATCTGCCTACCTCTGCCTCCCAAAGTGCTAGGATTACTGGCATGAGCCACTGTGCCTGGCTTAAGTAATTTAAATAATACTATTTATTTTATTTAGATTGTTTTACAAGGACATGCAACAAGAGTAACTGCTAAATCTCAACAGAGTGGAGAGAAGGCATTTCGATGTGAATATGATGGATGTGGAAAATTATATACAACAGCTCATCATCTTAAGGTATATATAAAAGAAATGTTCCATCTAGTTATGAGAATACCTAGGATATTAAATACTAAGATCATATTTTTATGTAATTTAAATGCCACTGTTTTCTCCGACTTATCAAGATACTGACACTTGGTCACGCTCATACATAGATACGTAAAAACCTATGTAGACTTTAGAGACTGTCAGTTTTTGGAGGGCTTGGACTATGTTTTTTTCATCTCTGTATTCCTAATGTCGAGCACACTACCTGGCACATAAGTAGGTACTCTACATATTTAAATATATGTTGTCAAGTGTGAAATTTATATAATTATATTGGAGATATGTGTGTAATCACACATCTCTGTTAATTCTCTGGAATCTAGCAAAAGTTGGTATTAATTTGTCTTTTAAATAGTTGGGCTAAGTAAGGCTGGGCCTGGTGGCTCTGGCCTGTAATCCCAGCACTTTGGGAGGCCAAGGCGGGTGGATCACCGGAGGTCAAGAGTTCAAGACCAGCCTGGCCAACATGGTGAAACCCCATCTCTACTAAAAATACAAAAATTAGCCGGGAGTGGTGGCAGGTGCCTGTAATCCCAGCTACTCTAGAGGCTGAGACAGGAGAGGCGGAGGTTGCAGTGAGCTGAGATCGCGTCACTGTACTCCAAGCCTGGGCAACAAAGAGGGAAACTCCATCTCAAACAAATAAATAAAAAAATAAATATTTAGGCTAAGTATTTTAATTTTTCTTGCTGCTATACATAACAGAACATATCATGACTCAATAATAGCTAAGATTTGTTTTTTTGGGTTTTTTTTTTTTTTTTTTTTTTTTTTTTTTTTAGAGAGGGGGTTCTCCCCCCTCCCTCAGGCTAGAGATCAGTGCCACCATCTTGGCTCACTGCAACCTTTGCTTTCCAGATTCAAGCGATTCTCCTGCCTCAGCCTCTTAAGTTAGCTGGGATTACAGACACGCACCATCACGCTCAGCTAATTTTTGTATTTTTAGTAGAGACAGTGTTTCGCCATGTTGGCCAGGCTGGTCTTGAACTCCTGATCTTCGTGATCCACCCACTTCAGCCTCCCAAAGTGCTGGGATTACAGGTGTGAGCCACCGTGCCTGGCAAAGAGTTGTTAAATAACTTTCAATGTGTCAGAAGTGTGTGCTTAGCATATTTGGAGTAGTGGCCCTAGGGCCCATCTTCACTGTTTATCAATAACCTTGGCATGTTAGTTGACCTTAGTACCTCATTTTCCTCATCTATAAAATTAGATTCTAAGAGTTATCTCCCTCTCAGAGTGGTTGTAAAAATTAAATAAGTTTATATGGTACACGTAAAGTACTAAAGAGAGTGGCCTGATGTAGTAAATGTTTAGTAAATGTTAGTCATTGTCATTGTTACTCGTTTGTCACGGCAGCCCTCTATGGTTGATAGTATTGTGTCCCCACATTTTAGAGAGACCTTTCAGGCTTAGAGAAGGCAAGTGTCCATGATCACACCACTAGGCAGCTGGTGGATCCTTGCCTCAGATCCAGGCCCCTCTAGCAGCAGCCTCCACACTTTTAACCTTACATTGTGTAGCCTCTCCCAGCCCCCTGCTTCTGGTTTCTCATCATGTGCATGTTTCATGCAAATACCTTTGACCACTCTAGAAAGCTCAGACCTCGAACATTGCTGTTCCCTACTTAAAATATTAGTAACTCTTAATATTTGATATTTAGGTCTGTATTGAGAACTATTGGGCTATCGCTTTTGTGAAGGTTTTTGTGTTTTTTTTTTTTTGGTAGGTCGTTTATTTTTTTTGAGACGAAGCCTCACACTTTCGTCCAGGCTGGAGTACAATGGCATGATCTAAGCTCACTGCAACCTCCACCTCCCAGGTTCAAGTGATTCTCCTGCCTTAGCCTCCTGAGTAGCTGGGATTACAGGTGTCTGCCACCACACCCAGCCAATTTTTTGTATTTTTAATAGAGACAGGGTTTCACTATGTTGGCCAGGCCGGTCTTGAACTCCTGATCCCATGATCTGCATGCCTCAGCCTCCCAAAGTGTTGGGATTACAGGCGTGAGCCACTACGTCTGGCCTTTTTTTTTTTTTTTTTTTTTTTTTTTAAATAAAGCATACAACAAAATCATTTAGCAGTGTGGGAAAAAATAGGTCTGTGTTGCAACCATCTTCCTGTGGAATACTTAAAGGAAATAGAATTATGCCTGCATTTTAATCACAGGTCCATGAGAGGTCACACACAGGAGATCGGCCTTATCAGTGTGAGCATGCAGGCTGTGGGAAAGCATTTGCAACAGGTAAGAATATGAATTTTGTTCTTTTCTTGGTTCTAATTAGGGGTCAAGTAGAAACAGCCCAGTGGAAGGAACTGACCTTTTGGCTGTGTCTGAATCTGTAGAAGCACATGATCAGTTTTTCAGTCTCTCTCATAACTAACTGCCTTTTGTCCTGCTTACTCTACACCCTTCTTTGTTCTTTTCTCCACTGACCTGTCTCTGCCTGCTGTGTTTTTCTTTTTCTTTCTCTCTTTTTTTTTTTTTTTTGAGACATTTTCACTCTGTCACTCAGGTTGGAGTACAGTGGCAGGATCTTGGCTCATTGTACACACCACCTCCCAGATTCAAGCAATTCTAGTGCCACAGTCTCCTGAGTAGCTGGGTTAATATTTTTTATTTTTAGTAGAGGTAGTGTTTTGCTATGTTAGCCAGGCTGGTCTCAAACTCCTGGCCTCAAGTGATCCATCTACCTCAGCCTACCAAAGTGCTGGAATTACAGGTGTGAGCTACCACACACCTGACCAGCCTGCTGTGTTTAATACTTTTCACTCCACATTCTGTTTATATTTAGCGGGAAAATAAAAGCCAAGCTTTTTTGTTCATTTGTTTTTTGTATTTTAGATGGTGTTTCACTCTTGTTGCCCAGTCTAGGGTGCAGTGATGCAATCTTGACTCACCACAATCTCTGCCTCCTAGACTCAGGCGATTCTCCTGCTTCAACCTCCAGAGTAGCTGGGATTACAGGCATGCGCCACCACTCCCAACTAATTTTTTTATTTTTGGTAGAGTTGGTTTTACTCCTTGGTCAGGCTGGTCTCAAACTCCCGACCTCAGGTGATCCATCTGCCTCAGCCTCCCAAAGTGCTGGGATTACAGGCATGAGCCACCGCGCCCAGCCAAAAGCTAAGCTTTAAAGGCTACCGTAGACTCTATCTTTAGGACAGACCTAAGTAGTGGGATGGGGCCTCTGCAGAGATGCATCCAGCGGGGCCGGGACTGGCACCAGGCCTCCTTATTTCCATTCTTTATTCCATGTCTTGATTCCACTTTGAGCTTTTGGAGTATGAGAACATCTAATAAAACTGAGGCACTTTTAAAAAAAGAAACACACAACCTCTTCTAGACAGAGATGAAACTGTTCAATTTTCAGCATGGCAGTCCTGAGCTATGATACATTTTTACTTTTTTTTTTAGATGAAGTCTCACTTTGTTGCCCAGGCTGGAGTGCAATTGCATGATCTCGGTTCACTGAAACCTCCACCTCTTGGGTTCAAGCGATTCTCCTGTCTCAATCTCCTGAGTAGCCAGGACAACAGGCGCACACCACCGTTCCTGGATAATTTTTTGTATTTTTAGTAGAGACGGGTTTCACCATGTTGGCCAGGCTGGTCTCAAACTCCTGACTTCAGGTGATCCACCCGCCTCTGCCTCCCAAAGTGCCGGGGTTACCGGTGTGAGCCACCACACCCAGCCCTTTTGTACATTTTAAGTACTCTGTGTATATGCCTAATATTTTATACTTGGTATTGACTGTATTTTTCAGTAGCTTAATCTCAATGTGCATGTTTCGAGGAGTATTGTGTAATTAAATTTCTTTTAATTTTTTCTTAAAGGTTATGGATTAAAAAGTCATGTCAGAACTCATACAGGAGAAAAGCCATATCGGTGTTCAGAAGATAATTGTACTAAATCTTTCAAAACTTCAGGAGATCTACAGAAACATATCAGAACTCATACAGGTACTAATAGAAACAGAGTGTCATATTTAGGCCAGAAATTCTTAATCTGCAGGGAGGGGACTTGAGGAAGGAGTCTCTGGAAGAGTTTCAGGGAATCACTATCAATGGCTTCTCTTAAACCTCTGAAATTCTGTATGACTTGCTGTTTGTGCACGTCTGCTGCTTTTCAGGATGAGGGCCCAATAACTCTGTTAGATTCTCAAAAGGTCCGTGTCCCAGAAAAGAATTAACAATGTCTCTAGACCACCAGCTCTCTCAGATTTTAGGAGTTGTCTAGGCAACAAGCTTATTTACTTAGAATTACATATCTAATTAGTAGCCAAGCTGAGACAGAACCCAAGGCATTCAATTGTTTCTCCTTTATTAAGCAGCTACTAAAGAAAGTGTGTGAACCCCAACAGCTCCACAGATGAAAAGACTCATTTCTTTTTGTGATCATTTCTTCTTCTCTTTAAATTTTATCATCTTTTCCTAAATAATACTTTATTCTTGTCTCCCTATCTCTTCTCCTCCTTATACTTGATTACTTGTGGAATTGGTATTAGTAAGGTAAATATTTGCTTTGGATTGGAGCTAGAAAAAGTTCAGAAGCTGTTGATAAGAGATGCTCTTAGGCCAGGCGTGGTGGCTCACGCCTGTAATCCCAGCACTTTGGGAGGCCGAGGCGGGCGGATCACGAGGTCAAGAGATCAAGACCATCCTGGTCAACACGGTGAAACACCATCTCTACTAAAAATACAAAAAATCAGCTGCACATGGTGGCGCATGCCTGTAATCCCAGCTACTCAGGAGGCTGAGGCAGGAGAATTGCCTGAACCCAGGAGGCGGAGGTTGCGGTGAGCCGAGATCGCGCCATTGCACTCCAGCCTGGGTAACAGAGTTTCACTCTTGTTACCC